ATTATTTTCATATGTAGAAATATCTTGTCAAACCTATATATATTGATAGTTGTAATCCTATTCACCTTCACACACCTGTTCAGCTTGATTGTCTATCTATGTATTCACTCGTAGATTACTGTTACTCTTATTGCAGGACTGTGTATACAATAGTATTTATTTACCTTTGGTGCTTTTAACTCTTGTGCTCCTCCTAGTGTCTTCCTCTGCTTTGATCATTTTGTGTTGGCCTCCCTGTTTTTGTATATTGCCTTTCCCTTCACCCAACTTAATATATGTCTATTCTCTACTTAGGAGCTCTGGTAGCATAGTGCCTAAGGCACTTGACTGCTAACCAGAAGGCTGGCGGTTCAAACCCACCAGCCGCTCCTCGGAAGGAAGGTTGGGCAATCCTACTTCCGTAGCGATACTGCCTCAGAAACCCAAAGAGGGGTCGCTATGAGTTGGGGCCGACTCGACGGCAAATAACAACAACAACAAATTCTCTACTTAGTGATTTACCTTCCTTTCCCCTCTCATCTCTAGTAACCTTCAAAGAATGATTCATTCTGAGTGTGTAAACCTTTTCTTGACTTTTTAAAGCAGTGGTCTCATATAGTGTTTGCCCTTTTGTGATTGACTAATTTCACTCAGCCTAATGCCCTCTAGGTTCATCTATGCTATGAGGTATTTTGAAGATTGTTATTTTTTAACATTGTGTAGTAGTCCACTGTGTGTTATGTACCATAGTTTTTTATCTACTCATCCACTGATGGGCACATAAGTTGTTTCCCTCTTTTTGCTACTGTGAATAATGCTGCAACGAAGATGGCTATGCACGTATCTGTTCACGTCCCAGATCCTATTTCTCTAGGATATATACCTACCAGTGGGATTGCAGGATCATATGGTATTTTTCTATGCACAACTTTTTAAGGACATGCCATACTGTTTTCCACAGTGGTTGTATGATTTACCAGCTTTGTGTGAGGGTTCCAGTCTTTCCACACCCTCAGCAGCACTTGTTTTGTTTTTATTTTTAAGCTTTGTTGTTAATGCTGGGGTGTAATGATATCTCATTGTTGTTTTGGTTTGCATCTCTCTAATGGCTAATGATTGTGAACATTTCTTCATGTGTTTGTTAGCTCCTGAATGTTTTCTTTGGTATACTGTCTGTTCATGGTCCTCTACCCATTTTTTAATTGTATTCTTTGCCTTTTGTTATTGAGGTGTTGAAGTTTTCTACAAATTTTAGAGATTAGTTTGCTGTCTGATATGTCATTGCCAAAATTTTTTGCCAGTTTGTAGGTTCTCTTTTTACTCTTTTGATGAAGACTTTTGATACATATAAACATTTAATTTTTAGGATGTCCCAGTCATCTAGTTTGCTTTCTCTTTGTACATTTTTATTCATGTTTGATACTGTATTTATGGCATGTACTAGGGTCCCTATTTTTTCTTTGATGATCTTTACAGTTTTAAGGTTTTAGTTTTAGGTCTTTGATTCATCTTTAGTTTTTGTATATGATGAGAGATATGGATCTTGTTTCATATTTCTGCAAATGGATATCCAGTTTTGCTAGAACCACTTGTTAAAGAAACCATCTCTGTCCCAATTAATGGGTTTTGGCCCTTTGTCAAAGATTAGCTGTCCATAGGGGGATGGATTTCTCAGTTCCCAATTCTGTTCCATTGGTCTAGGTTTTGAGATCAAGGAGTATGAAACCTCCTACTTTGTTCTTCTTTAGTAGTGTTTTGCTTATCCGGGGCCTCTTTTCTTTCCACATAAAGTTGGGGATTAGTTTTTCCCTCTCATTAAAGAATCATGATGGAATGTGAATTGGGGTTACATTATATCTATAGATTGCTTTGGGCAGTATTGACATTTTTACAATTTTAAGTCTTTCTCTCCATGACCATGGTATATTCTTCTATTTATGTAGGTCTCTTTTGGTTTCTTATAGAGTGTTTTATAGTTTTCTTTGAATAAGTCTTTTGTGCCTCTGGTTAGATTCATTCCTAATACTTCATCTTTTGAGTGGTTATTGTAAATGGTATTGATTTCCTTTTCAGAGAACTCTGTATTAGTATAGAGGAATCTAACTGGTTTCTGTATGTTGATCCTGTACCCTGCAACTTTGCTGAATCCTTTTATTAATTCCAATAGTTTTCTTGTTGAGCCTCTAGGATATTCTAGGTATAAGATCATACAAACTGCAAACAGAGATAGTTTTACTTCTTTGCCAATGTGGATGCCTTTTATATCCCCTTCTTGCTTTATTGCTCTGGCTAGGACTTCTAATACAACACTGAATAGGAATGGTGATAAAGGGCATCCATGTCTGGTTCCTGTTCACAAGGAAAATGTTTTCCTAAGAATTATTTCCTGAGAATAATGTTGGCCATTGGTTTTGTGCATATGCAAGAACAAGGATTTTTGTTCAAATTTTATTCAACATTTAGAATAGTGACTAGTGCACACAAAAGACATCCAATTAACATTTATTGAATTAATGAGTGCTGAATGAACACAGTCATACAACCCTAACCTAAGTTATCAGACAGAGGACTAGGAGCAGTGTGGAAGACAAACTTCAAATGGACAAAACTGGAGGCAAGGATTTCAGTTGGGCTTGAATTAAAACTAGCTAAGGCAGTAAGAACAAGGCAGATTTGAAATTACATAAAAAGCAACAGTATTTATAATTAATTGGATGAGTTATAAATGAAAGAGGAATAGATAACTTAAGGGCTTAAAAATGAGTAAAAGAAATGAGAAATTTTAGACATGTGAAACTAAGGTATATGAGAGACAAAATCAGATTAGGATTTCCATTGGCTGCTGGATATGCAGATTTAGAGTTTAGGAGGGAGAGGACAGGGCTACAGATTTAGGTTTGAGAGTTACTGATATATGAATAATAGTTAAAATCAGTAAGATGAGATTATTCTCAGAAAGCATGTAGAGTCAGCAGAAAACAGAAACAGAAGTCTGGGAAGTACCAGTATTCAAATGCCAAGAAGAGGAAGAGGATCCAAGAAAGAAAATTGAGAAATGTTGGTCTGAGATGTAGCAGATCAGAGTACTTCACACATTATGGTCTAAATGATTTTCAGGAAAGAAAGACAGGTGAAGTTCAGAGTAAAATATAGGTTTGAAGTGAGCGATAAAGATGTGGCAAGCCGCTGAGGGGAATGGACAGAAACTTTCCTGACCAGATAGGTAGTGACAAAGAGCTAAGAGAACTGCTATGAACTGAATCATTAAATATATAGCATAATTAATCATAAGCCACTCCTCGGAAGGAAGATGGGGCAATCTACTTCCATAGTGATACTGCCTCAGAAACCCAAGGAGGGGTCACTATGAGTCAGGTCCAACTCGACGGCACATAACAACAACAACAATCGTAAGAAATTGGTTGGACTGATCTAGAGTTGGAGATATTACAAGTATGGTAGCAAGGAATCAGTTGAAACTCCTAGCAAAGTGTATTTCAAATAATGAACCACAAAGTGCTAATATAAAGAAATAGATTAGGAAGGGCCCTTATAAGAAAAAAGAAAACTATAAGTCTGGAAATGTCCTTGAAGTTGAAGAACAGATACAGTGGGAAAAAGAGTATGAGATATATGGAAAAATGAAAGGTTATCACAAAAGACCATTTTACCAAAATCCCAGGCAATAGTGAGGGCATAAAATAGGTTTATTAAAACACACAAATAAATAAAGATTAAACATGAAATAGAGCTCCTGACAGGCAATTTACAACTGTTGCTGTAAGTTCTAAAAATTCACAGACTTTCAAAAGAGGGATTATAGCCAGGTAATTTTGAGTGAATGAATGGTTAGATGAGGCCAGTTGAAAAGACAGATCAAAGAGTTAGGAGATAGAATAAACAAATAAGAGAAATTAAAATGTCAATGATAGTAATAAGAAACTAATTAATGCATGTTTTACTTTTTTAAGTTTCTCCACATGTCAAATGAGAGTCTGTTTTCCTTACCTCTAAAGGCTATTGTCTGATAACAAATAAATTATTTTGAAAAATGAAGGAGAAGCGAATACTTAGTATAGCATGGATTGTAATAGCAAAAACTTGGAAACAACATAAATGACCACCATTAGGAGATGGCTAAATAACTACAGAATATTAATATAACTGGGTACTATATAGCAACTAAAAGGACTAGGCTTGACCTAGAGACACAAACATAGTTTTATTTATGTTGTGTGTGTGTAGATAGACAGAAAAAAAAAGAAAAAAAAAAAAACATGGGAATGATTAACAATAAACTCAGACTAATGATTACTTCACCTCTGGGAGAGAAAGAAGAGCATGAGATTAAGACAGGTTTCAAGGAACCTTTCATTGTACCTGTACTGTTCATGTCTTTAAAAAAATCTGAAGCAAATACTGCAAAATACTAAGATCAGACAAAGATAGGTAACAATAGGTACATAAGTGTTCATACTATTATTCTTTATCCTTGAAGTATTTCAGAAAACAAAAGTACATTATGTAAGAAATATAGTACATTATTGCTAAATAATAATTTGCTCTCATGTAAGCCTGAAAGACTGTCCAGTAAACAAATCTTTAAACCTTTAGGAAATACTTTAAGTCTACATAGCAGAAGTCATTTGAAAAACATGAGATGGATTTGGTATGATAATGTATGACAGAAAAACAGAACTGAGACAACTTTTAGTCATTAATGTATCTTATTTATAGAGGTATTTAAGCCCTCACAATGATGACATTACAAATAAGTGATTTTCCTCTCTGTGTTTTTCTGTATTTCACAAATTTTTCATAAATGGCCTTACTTTTTAAACCAAAAAGAAAAAACTCTGAGGCTATGAAATTGCTGTTCAAAACTGATCACTAATATGGATACTTTTCTGAATAGAGACTTAAAAAACATTTTTTACAAAATTGACAAAATAGGAGACAGTAAGTAACTTCAAGCATACTGCAACATAAGAAACGATTCGTGAAAATCTGTGTTTTCGCACCTACTACATTCCATATCTTCAGGCCAAGGAACACCAAACATTTCCATGAGCTTCGAACACTCGCTGTAGGCACGCTGGCATAGCCTACGACAGGGAAGTGTGACACGTCCATATTCCATACAAATAGGAGCATAGAGTGCACAAAGAAATGGCCGGAAATCCCGAGAGCAATCCAGATTCACCATAGGGTGGAATGGCTAGGAAAAAGTTAAAATTGAAAAATTAGATAAAGAACTATATACACGCTGAAGCTATCTATATATTAGTTTTTATTAGTTTATATGAGTTTTTCAATTTAAAAAATTTTCTCAACATTCATTTTATAAATTCTGAAGGGGGCTGTGCTTTTTTAAAAACAAAACCCTTTTGGTCCTATCCCAGAAGATCCTAATTCAGTAAGTTTGAGTGGATCCAGAATCTATGTGTATATTTTAATTGCTACAGGTGATACTACTGAAGTGGCAAGGCTGGGAACCAATATATAAGATGATCCATTCTTGATAGAAAAATATTCAAAACATGCACCAAATGTTCAAAAGAATGATTATGGCTTGTTAATGGGATTAAAAGGTATTTTAATTTTATTCTTTTTATATATTTTAATTTCTATATTTTCTATAAGTATCAAGAGTAGAGGAAGAACAAACGATGAAAGGAGGAAAGAGAGGGAGGAGAGGAAGAGATAAGTTATACATGTTGTTGTTGTTATGTGCCGTTGAGTCAGACCCGACTCACGGCGACCCCTCCTTGGGTCTCCAAGGCAGTATCACTACAGAAGTAGATTGCCCCATCTTCCTTACGAGGAGTGGCTGGTGGGTTTGAACCACCAGCCTTCTGGTTAGCAGTCAAGTACCTTAGGCACTATGCTACCAGAGCTCCCAAGTTATACATAGTAGTAATTATTTTGGAAGCAAGAAGAGGAGAAGAATTTATTATTTTTGTCTATTTTCTTGTTCTTTTTACACTAAAATTTAAAAAAAAAAAAAACAGAATTCTTTAAACTCTAAAATCACATGATATAAAATATAGCTCACACTATAAGATATTAAGTAAAAAGAAAAAAGAGGGGCACCAAACTTAAAACCATATTAAAATAATCATTACTATTACCACAGGAATAGATCCAATATTCCCAGAAATGTGCAACTAGGCTTTTAACTATCAATTATTACTGATTTTGAACTGCTAATAGATATTCTCACCTCCAGGCATAGATATTCTCACCTCCAGGCCTTTCTACTGCATAAGTTACAATCTATTCATTTCTACATTGATGTATAATGTACAAAGACTACCAGACACTCTCAGAAAACCAGTTTTTTTTTTAAAAACACTGAAGTCAACAAAGCTAACTGTAAAATGGATATGAAATCTATATGCAATGATAAACTACATGAGACAAAAAACTGTCCGTGACTAGCACTTCCAAGTACGATGAGTAGTGTGTGATAAACCAATGCTTTCACCAAGAACAACTTAAAAAGACAGAAAAAAAATGTTTTGAAAGATCTATTTATAGCCACTGGAGAACTGAAGAACTAGAGGAACTAAGATTCTAGAGCGCAGGGAAGCATAAAGAGGGACTGGATAATCACAGCTATTTTTCTAAGGAGGCAATTGTTAAATTTTGCACAAAGCTGAGAATCCAAGCTTTGCCTAGGTTGGTGCTAGATAAATGAGCAGAGTTTTTGGTAGTCTTGTAAAGCTGCAGATACAAAATTGGAAATTAAAAGAAGATCTAGGTGAGAAGGGAAGTATAAAGACTTGAGTGTGACACAGAGCCAAGTTTTCCCGTCAAGATATTTGAAAATTCTGAAGCTACAGAGGGAAGGAGGCTGAGAAATCATGCAGAAAGTCTCTGAATAGCAGAGTGGAGATTTTTGGCAGTCTTACTAGGCCAAGGAGATACTGACTTCAGGCCCCGCCAGCCGGTGGGGGGGGGGGGGGGGGGGCTGAACATACAAGATCCTCATCTGGAAGCCCTGCATAATTATACACTAGTAGCAGGGACAAATGTGAGGGAGACTGAGACTTACCAAACTGTAATTCAGCCTGAAATCAGCTCAGTCCCAGACTGAATTAAGGTGATCTGCCCCCACTGATCTGCTAAGCAGAAAAAAGGGTATAAACTTTTTCTAGAGTGATACATCACCACCTGGAACCTCACAAATATTTTAGAATGTCTAGTACTCAAAATAGGAGCTCTGGTAGCATAGTGCCTAAGGTGCTTGACTGCTAACCAGAAGGCTGGCAGTTCAAACCCACCAGACACTCCTCGGAAGGAAGGTTGGGCAATCTATTTCCGTAGTGATACTGCCTTGGCAACCTGAGGAGGGGTCGCTATGAGTCGAGTCTGACTCGATGGCACATAACAACAACAACAGTACTCAAAATAAAAAAAACAATGGATATCAAAGACAGGGCCATATGACTGAAAACCAACAAAGAAAAAAAAAAGTTTTAGTGATCCAGATACTGGCATTAATAGACAAGATTGTCTATAACTACAACTGATATGTTCAATAAAATAAAAGGTAAAGAATTTCACCTGAAAATTGTAATCTATAAGATGAATCAAATGGAAATGCAATTACTGGAATAGATAACTATGGAAACTAAGAACAAATTAGATACAGGACAATATAGGACTGGCAAAATAGAAAACAAGCAATAAAAAATATTCAAATGGAAGCACAATAACAAAAAATAATTAAATATACCAAAAAAAGAGCATAATAGACATGTAAAACGCATGCAAAGGACTAACATATACACAAATGGAATTTAAAAAGGGGAGGAGGGAGAGAATTGGGCAGCAGAAATATATAAAAAATGATAGCTGAGAATTTTCCAAAACTGATTAAGACAACAACTTGTACATTCAAGAAGTTCTGCAAACCCCAAGAAGGATAAATACAAAGAAAATCACATTGAGGCACATCATGTGCAAACTGCTGACAACCAAAGAAAATATTTTAAAAGAAGTCAAAGAAAAAAAAGATACATTATATGCAAGGTAAGCAGCAATACCACTTATCGCTGACTTCAGAAAACAATGGAATGATTTCTTTAAAGAGCTGAGAGAAAATAATTGTTAACCCAGAATTCTATCGAAAAAAAAAAAACCAAACTCACTGCCATCAAGTTGTTCCGACTCCTAGCGACCCCTCCTTGGGATTCTGGGCAGTATCACTACGAAAGTAAATTGCCCAGTTTTCCTTCCAAGGTGTGGCTGGTGGGTTTGAACTGCCAGCCTTCTGGTTAGCAGTCAAATGCCTTACATATTATGCCACCAGAGCTCCCTAGAATTCTATACTCAGTGAGAATTCTATAGTCAGTGAAAATATAAAATATTTTTCACAAATGAAGACAAAGTAAACCTGTTTTTAGACACGTAAAAATTGAGAAAATAAGTCACCGAAGGAAAGAGAACCAGAGAGTTCTTCAGACAGAAGAAAAGTCATTAAAATTAAAACACAAAAGGAATTAAGAGCAACAGAGAGTGGATACGTGATATAAGTTAATATTTCTATACCAACAAAAATAACTGCAATGCCTTAAAATTCAGGAAAAATATATACAAAATCAGTATGTGTAGCAATAAAATAAAAAACATAGGATGGAGTCAGTGTAACACTACTGGATGTGGTTCAAGTAATTACTTTTATTAGAAAGTTGTGAAAATCAAAAGAGCATGTCATAATTTCTAGGGTATGTACTAAAAATATGTACAACTAGCAAAGTAACAAAGAGAAAAATAGAAGAAAGAAAAAAAAAATGTAAAATACCCTGGACACACCATCCGATCTGCAACCTATACAACTACGAGACCAGAAGAACTAGATGGTGCCCAGCTACCAATGTCAGCCATTTGGAAGGGATGCAGGAGATCCTGGATAGAGAGGGAGAACAATGTGGAACAAAACTCAAAATCATTTGGCGGGGGGGTGAAGGGGGATGGTTGGGACCAGGTTTGCTGGTCCAATAGAGCCTGGTGGAACCACTGAGACTATGGCCCCTAGCTACCCTTCAGGTCTGGAATTGAACCCACACCTGTGGTTTCGAGCCAAACAAAGTACAGGCATGTGAGTT